AAACCATTAATAAAGTAATCCAATGTAAAATAACACTGGATAGTCTTTTTAGTCCTGACTGAATTAAATACATAGGCTATTAATTCTGATTGCTTACAATTAATGCTATATTATGTTGTTATGACAACAGAATCAATGACAGACACATATGGCTGCATTCACTTTAAGAACTAGTGCACGGATCCATTACTGTCTCATTATACTGTCTATCACACGCGTTTAATGCTAATTTAAGACATAACCGACTGTTTTTACGAGGTTACTCACCAAAACCAGAGTTTTGACATAATTTTGCATGTTTTTAACTGTTAACGCGATATAATCCAGGGATAAAACTTTTGTTTCTGGTGAGCAGTTTGTGAGGCGGATTTAGGCTTCACTGTATGTGCGCGCAGTGCAAGACATCTCTGAGAGTGCGCGAGCACGGGATGGTTTAACATTGCTTTAATGTTTAAACTGGTAAAACTTAAAAAGACGTGAAAATGATAAATGCTAGTTACGATCATAGGTTACGATGCAATACTGGCTCGATTGTGCAAGTGAATATTCCGTCATGTCCCGACTCCTAAACACAAGTGTGTCGACGCATGCAGCGCTTGACGCTTGCCTTGTGCAGAGAGAGAAGACACAGCACCGCAAGCCCTGAATATGGAAAAAATCGATTCATGGCCGTTGAGAATCGATTTTGAAGTTTGAACCACATTTTAAAAAAACGATTAATAGAAAAATCTATTTTTTTTGCCCAGTCCTATTCTAAATGTGACCTTTTCCCAAAAGGTAAGCAGCATAATACCTTCTTTTGGCCTAGTTCTAATGTAGCTTTGCTTGTATCCTCCTTGTAGAAGTCCATAGACATATACACTAGACCTCACCTTGGATACGGCAGTTCATTGGAACGAATGCGTCAATAGAGCCGCCATCTTGAAACAGGGGAGCCCCTCCACTTTAATGCATCAGCGTCAATGTAGTAGACAGGTCTAACGCAAATAAAATCACCATAAATCATCATGAATGCGATTTTTCTTGTTTTTTTGGTTTGTTCCAACGGTCAGACATGTATTTATCATTGATTGCAGAAAGAAATTTTATTTTTTTTTAAAAACATTCTTCCTAGTTCAGATTTCATCCGTAAACATCATACGCTGCACAAAAGTCCGCCACCATCAATGAATTTCGAAGTAAAGGCAGAGATAGCAGCGTTACCTAGCTACTTCCTATGACGAGACCCCTGTTCCAAGATGGCGGCGGTTTTGACGCATGCTTAGAACCCCCAGGTGAGGTCTAGTGAAATATGTCTATGGTAGAAGTCAACCCCATTATGCATAGCGACATGTAAAATACAAAAATCAAAGATGTTGCATACTTCCTGTACATAGTAGGTGAAAAAAAAAAACCAATATGTCCAGTATAAAACAGTTGGCGAAGAGTACCCGGTGTGATTCTGAAGCGTACATCCATTGGACACTTTACTATCCCATGAGGCAATGGGGGATGAGTTAGGAATGGTAATGAAATGACTCAACTGATGCTGTAGGTCACATGACAAAGCCAACATGGCAGATTCATACCATATAGGCCTACTGTAGAATGCATTTTAATGGTCAAGACTCAAGAAATGCGGTGTGTGATTTCGGTCACACCTACAATAGAGTCTGTTTAAATTTTTCTAAATGAGGTTGCATTTCAGTTAGGACTCTATCTCAGAAGGTAGATGTCTACATAGGCAGTAGACAGCAAGGCTGCTAATTCGTCCAGCAGAGTCCACTTGAAATCTAAACGCTATAGTATGCTGAGTTAATGCTAGATTCGATGTGTTCTGAGGACTGTGTACTTCTGCTCAGCATTTGTTAATGTCATTCCCACACTCACTGTGGGCTGCCCCTGTGATTTTGGCTGTGCCTCTTGATGAATTGTTCTGAGGGGTTGACTTCTCTATTGTGCCTCAAGGGGTTTGGCAGACGTTGTAGGTTTCTGAAATATCTCCATGCCTCATTGTGTCCTTTCACTGTTTAAGAAGAGAACTCTACAGTTTCCGTTGAGCCAAATCCCCTGGTTCAGCTATTTATCCAGTTCACATCAAACCCCCAAAGAGTGATTATGCATCCTAGACTCATCTTACTATAAATTCAGCTCTGAGGATAATAAGAAAAACACAACACAAGGCTTCATTGTATCTTTTGGTGTATACGGTTCTGTTACACTGAGGTGTCTGCACTGTCAAAGATTGAAACTTTATTCAGTAAGATTTTAGACTTTTTGAGTTTGATTTTATTTACTTTTCTCAACTTTTAACCAAAGTACTTCACAATACTAAAATTAGCTAAAAGTGAAAAGGAGTAGTTCACTTTAAAAAAAATTTTTTTTTAAATAATTAACTCACCCCCATGTCATCCAAGTCTTTCTTCAGTCGAAAAGAAATGAAGGTTTTTGATGAATATATCATATAATGGACTTCACTGGGCACCAAACGGTTCAAGGTCCAAAAGACACTTTCAGTACAAACTGCAAACTGTTCAAAGTGCTTTAAATGATTCCAGACGATGAATAAGGGTCTTATTTAGCAAAATGATCGCTCATTTAAAATAACAAAGTTTTATGAGCTCAAATGGTCGCCTTGCTCTGTTCTGTGATGCGCGTTTGTGACTCTCCTGTTCGAACTCGTTCATCAAAATGAACAAATCTTTTTCCCAGTCAATTCGTTCATTTCGTCTGTTGAATAAACCAGATGACACGAAAAAAGATTTGTTCATTTTGATAAACGAGTTCGAACGGTCACGAATGCGCATCACAAAACTGAGCAAGGCGACCATTTGAGCTTATAAAACTTAAACTTTGTTATTTTAAATGAGCGATCGTTTCGCTTGATAAGACCCTTATTGATCGTCTGGAATCTTTTAAAGCCCTTTCAACAGTTTGCAGTTTGCACTGAAACTTTCTTTTGGACCTTGAACCGTTTGGTTACCAGTAAAGTGCAATATTTGGAGAAAAATCCTGGAATGTTTTCATCAAAAACCTTAATTTCTTTTCGACTGAAGAAAGAATGAAATGGTCATCTTGGATGACATGGGGTTGAGTAAATTATCAGCAATTGTTTTTTTTTAAAGTGAACTACTCCTTTAAGTGGATTGCTTTAAATTAAAAGCCATTCAAATAAATGGCCAGTATTGGGTTTTATCTCTGTCTTTTTAACTTTTATTCATATTTGATTGTCTTTTAAATTTTGTCTGTATTTAGTCATAAGCCGCGTTTACACCAAAATCACCCGGAACAATTCGTCCTTGGAGGAAATCAAATCAAATACTGTGTGTAGTCAACCAATCAAAATGCTGCATGAACTCAACCAATCAGCGTGTTCAGCGCCCAAGTCCAACCCCCGAAAGTTCCTGAACAATTACTACCTTGTGAGCAGGGACTTTCTGAGGGGGGAATTCTGGTCTGGAACTTCATTTAGACCCTGGATCCTGCGGTCGAGTACCACCCCAAAGTCCTTAGATCTTGGGGAAAGTTCCTGCGGGGGAAATTGTAGTCCATTTGTTTCTGACGGAAGAGCACATGACCATTTTTTTTGACAATGTGCACTTAATTTTTTTTATTTTTTTTTTTATAGTTGTCTCCTGCAAAGATAAAAACATATAGTCAATTTAAAAGTTGCTGTGTTCTGATTTCTACATGCTATAGTAATAGTGACAGGGATTTGGAGACTATTTGCAATATAGCATCATGTGAATCTGCGATGGTATATTCACATACAGAGTTTTATACTCTGTAATTTAAATTAAACATGACATTTTGAAAGTACAAGACTGAAATAGTATTTTCTTATGAAATGTAATCCAGAAAAATGTTTCATCATTCAAAATCATGTTTTAGAGTAAACTGAGTATATTGAGAGGGGCACAATGTCCACTGATGCATGTGTTCATATTTGTAAATTTCTTCAGGAGAACTATTTGTAGTTTGACAGTGCTTATAGAGTGTCAGTTAGCATGTGGAGGGTCTGTCACCAGCTCTCGTAGGCTTGTCTGAACAAGACCACTATATAACTCTGTAACTGAAGCACAGAACATGTGGTCACCTCTGTCAAAGCTAATTGTAAGTTTAAACCAGAGTACAAGATTTGTATTGGGGGTTGGTTTAAGCCAATATGCTGGTATATGCTGCTTGTTGCAGCTCAAAGCTGGAATGTGGAATTAGCTTCTGTGTGAACTTCATCGACACAGTTATGAAATGATTTATGACGTCTCTCCTAAACAGGGAATAAAGTTTGTATTAAGAAGGATAAAATGTTTAATGAGACAGTTGTTCTAACTAGTTTGGTCTTTATAGCATTTAACTATATTTAATAGAGTGATTGCATATTGATATTCCTAGGGCATTCTGATTATTAACATCTATAATCTTTTTATCTCTCGTAACATACAGACTCCAGTCAATTTTTATAATTGATCGCATTTATAATTTTACTCTACACTACTGTTCAAATGTTTGAGGTTAGTAATTTTTAACAAATTTTGAAAGAAGTCTCTTATGATCATCAAGGCAAAAATACTGTGCAAACAGTAATATTGTGAAATTGTATTTCATTTTAAAATTACAGTTTTCTGTATTTTATTTATTTTTAAATCCGGTGATGGCAAAGCTGAAAGTCTTCAGTGTCACACAACCTTTCCTAATTATTCTAATATGCAGAAGAATTTCTGAAGACAGCTTTGCTACCTAATAGTTTATGGAAACTTTTTTTTGTTGTTGTGAAAGTTACTTTACTGTCGTTTTTTAATAAATTTAATACATGCTTTGTGAACTAATTATTACCAATTTCAACGGTACTGTTATGTTGCTCAAGATAACTCGCTGTAAAGTGTCCCTGATGCAACATTTCATAAACTACCTAAAATTTCAAGCTTTGCAAGCACTAGAATTTCCTTCAGAAAATGAACAAAAAAAGTATTCATTTTTAATTATAAAAAAAAAAAAAAAAAAAAAAAAAAAAAAACGATTTAAAGCATAAATGTCTGTATCTAAGAGGTCTTGTTTCTGTGCAACAGGGGTCTGTGGAATTTTTGTGCTCCTACAAAGGCTGTAAAAGTTGAAACAACTCTAGATTCCATCAGCGAGAGCATTTAGAAGCACCGGCGTATACAAAAGCATGCCTTGCAGGCATTTTTGGTAAGAATATCTATCATCAGAGACACTCTTTCACAAGGACAAAGGGGAGATGGGAGCTACGGGGGAGGAAAAGGTCCCAAGCTCGGCCAATGACGAAGCAGCCCCCCTGCTCTCTTTTAAATATGTTACTCCTCCTCTAAACTTTTCCTGCCTGGCTTGTGGGCTGATTGTGGTGACTTTACGGTGAGCCAGGGACGAGTCTCTGTGTGTTTGGTGTGGATTACTGTAGAGGGCATGTCAGGATCCTGTTTGAATTGCTGAATTGACTGGAAGTGAACGTGATGTCTGAGCTGAGGTTTTGGCTGTGCCTCTATATTGTGGTGTGCTTGAGCATACACCACACACATGGCTGGTTCTGGAATGATAACTCGAATACGAAGGGCACGCAGACACCCGCCTACCTGACAACCATAAGGCCCACATCCCAACCGAGGACAGAACAGACCAGGAAAGCAGGTACAAGGGCTTCTGTAATTGAGGTGGAAAAAGAGGTCAGTCATTTTGAGGGGGAATCAGAGTTCATATCCGGGTCCGGGTTTGGGGTTGAGCCTGAATCTGTAAATGGGTCTGAATTTGCTTCTGGATCCGGATCTGGATCTTCTCAATTTGAAAGACAGGATGCCTACGTTATGTTAACCAACGTTTCGGCTATTTTTGGTGAAAATGCTAGTTTGCATGCGGGAAACCTCAACCTGGAGACCAAAGTGGACCAGATGGATGGACTTCAGAGCGTTAGTGACTCAGCAAATGAAAGTATTCTTGTTAAAAATATTAGCACATATAATCAATTAAATGGGCGTAATTCTACTGAGCATGATGATTATGATAACTCGACTTTGTATTCCTCAGAATACTCTGTCTCAGATAATCTACTAACCATTGAAAGTGAGTATTTTGTTGCTAGCATGCCGGTTGTCGAATCCTCTCGCTGCTTGCCAGTCGGTTCTGATTTGCCATTTTGCACCAGAATGAGAGTGGATAGTTTCATGGTGCCCAATTTTCTAAATCAAAGCAGCGTGGAGGAAGTTCGGGTGGTTTTAACCCAATGGGCATGGCTTTTGCGGTCAAACTGCCATCATAGTTTGGAATGGTTTTTCTGCCTGCTGTTGACACCGCGGTGCGGCCCGCCTGGACTGCCACCCCCACTGCCCTGTCGCAGTTTCTGCGAGGTCCTGCGTGACAGTTGCTGGACGCTCCTGGATGAGGGCCACCTCCCCGTGGAGTGCCACTCTTTGCCCGAAGAGAAGCATGATGGGTATCGGTGCTTGTCAGTTAGTAACCAGAAAGGTAACGGACGGTTAGAATGCCATCTCTCTCAAAAAAGAAAGAAAGATGCATTTTCAACCAGTGCCACCTGTCTGTCTGTTTGTCATCCACCAGTCTTGGTGAGGGTTTGTCTGTAAGTGTTGTGTGGTCCTCACCAGTTATAAGCCCTCAAAGTCTCTGGGGAGATGTTTTAACGTATTCACTTTGCATGCTTGTCAAAACTGCATGGAAGTGTGAAGGATGACTGCATGGCACTACTTAATCAAGTCTTTGCATGTTTATGTGTTTGTATTTCAATACACATGCGACTCAGTTCCCACGGTCTTGGATTGTTTTGTTTCTCAGAATGTTTGTTTTCTTCTTTTAGTTAGCTCTAAAATATTTGATTGGCTAAAAATAGGGGTCCGGATTTTAGCAGCTGATACCAATACCGACTACCAATTTCTTGTCATCGTGTCAACCCGATACTGATCATTCAAGCTTTAAAAGTGATATGTAAGCTCTCTGTTGACTGTCACTGTAGGCATATTTAATGATTTCACGTGATTGTAAGTGGCAAACTTAAAAGTAATTGCTTATTATGGCCTATGAAAACAAGGTATCATATAGTACCTGGTAGGGGTTTCATCAACTAGTCGACTAGTCGACTGTCACAACCACTAGTTGGCGATGTTGGCCAGTCGATGTTGGACTAGTCGGAAACAAAATGATGACATATATATATATATATATATATATATATATATATATTGTACCCCTAGTACCTGGTATCATTTGATACGTTTTTGGTAAGAAAACGTTTATATGTTACAACACTGCTGGAAAACCCCCAGAAAAAGTGATTTTATTATTCATGCTTGACATGATAACAATTAGAAAGTATATATGATAGGTCATAAAATCAAGTTTGGTCTTGTTCGCAATCATGTTAACTGCATCTGGGCAACTTTTTACTGAACAAAAGAACTACTTACATGTGTAAGCGGTGCGCCATAAAGCATAAAAATATTTATACATAGAATAAGTAACAATAAATCAGATCCTGGCTGGTGAGTGATGATCTTCCACTGTTTCAGCTGTGCACTCCTATTATATGGCGCACGGTAAATCAATAACCTGAGCGATTGATCTAGTCTAAGCTGTAAAACAGTGTCCATTTGATTTGGTCTCTATATATTGTCCATACCCGTGATCCAGTTTCCATTGGTTGAACTTTCAAATGATTTTGGGAAACACTGTTGCGATCGGTTCCTGGAGGTCTTGTAGCTGTAGGAAGCTATAAATGTAGGGTCCATTTACACAATACCATTTTCAACTAAAAACAAAACTTTTTTATGTGTTTTAGCTAGGGCTGTCAGTTAAACACGTTATTAACAGCGTTAACACAAACCCATTTTAATGGCGTCAATTTTTTTATCGTGCGATTAATGATCTTTTTTGCCTAGCAAACTTTGTGGGGTTTTTTTCATATGCTTTTGCAACAGGACGCAGTGTGCGTGGCGCTGCGCTGCGAAACCCATTAATTTCAATGGCTTGGGCCGCGTGAGGACGTTTTGTTGCTTCATCGACCAAAGCGCAAGCGGATCTAGCTAGACCGGAAATAAAACAACAGGCACGCCGCACACACTTGTTTGGGCTTGCAAGCCTGCCAAATAGTTGGTAAACGTTACGTTTTGAGTGGATGACGAGCGCGAGACGCCGAAATGGATGCCAATAAATTTCTGAATGGAAATGTTACTTTTTAAGTTGCCAAATGGTTCTATGGACAAGACCAAAGTGATATGTGTGTTTCGTCCAGTCTGAAATACCACTTGATTGCCAAGCACACACACACACATAGATGATGCGAATTCTCCACCCCTCGTCAATATCTGGACCTCGTCACCTCGGGTTACATTGTGTGAGAGATTATTTGCTCCAAGTGAAAATGTTAGTGTGCAATTGAACATTGTATATGCCAATGTTGTTTTCAATAAAAAAAAAAAATTAAAAAAAATTAAAAAAAAAACATTGCACAAAGCAAGCCGATCCACTTTTCCATGCTGATAAGGGCATTAAATGAGAAAAAAATAATGTGACAAAAAGGAATCGAGACATTTAGAATAGATAAAAATGTGTGATTAATCGCGAGTTAACTACGACATTAATACGATTAATCACGATTAAATATTTTAATCGTTTGACAGCACTAGTTTTAGCCGTTGATTTACAGTACATGGGAATGGCGTTTTTTTTTTTTTTTTTTTTTAAACGGGTTTCAAAGTGCAAGTTTTTTAAAACGATACTTCGTCTCCGTATTAACTATAAAAACACGAATTCATGAAAAAGGTGACTTATTACATGTTCAGTCTATATGCACGTAGTCTTTCTTTATAAAGTAACACCAACTACTGGCCTGGCATACATATTTTATTGTAATTTTCACAGATCCTTGTGAACAGGGATTGTTTTACAATGGTGTCATCTGTATGCAAAAAGTTTTTTTTTCTTCATTTTTTTATACATGGTTGTTCGTGTAGCGTACCCTTACTGACTATTGACTCTATTGAGTCTAATGACTATCACTATAGAATGTGATAAACGTCTGATAGCAATCTGAGGCCGATCGATCGGAGCATCCCTAGCTTAAAATTTTGTCTTTGTCTATCTGTTGAGTGAAATGAAATCGAGAATGGTTGGAAATGTCCTGTAAGTTCATTGGTAAGGTGTGGGAAGCATGGCTCTTAACCAACCTGTGAAGCACTGAATACATCCAGTATCAACAGTACACATCTGTTGAGTACATTTCATTTTCCAATGATATAAATAGATTTCTTCTTAATATAATTTAATGTAGCTTAACTTTATTTTAGCAGTTTGAGGAATTACTGGTTGTGAGAGGTATGATTTAAATTGTGACTTCTCCCTGTGCATTGCAATTGCACAGATAATCATAGTTTCATACAGTACATGTGGTCAGACTTGGTAAACCTAAAAGAATAAATCCATAAGAGATTGTCAAATAAATTTGCCCTAAAAACACCCCACATTCTTTCTTAACCTACATTTAAATAGGGTATCTTAGAACTGTTATTTGTCAAGTTTAGGTAAATACAGAGAAACACCTCTGCTCATTGCTCTTCTCTAATGCACACTGTTCCTTATCTGAGTATGCAATTAGTGGTCAAATTTTTAACCTATCCATACATCACCAATAAGCTGGATATATGACATTCCTCCATTATGCATGATAAGGCAGTGGAAAGTTTAGTCTGATTAATCAATAAATCCCTTTAGTCTGATTAATCAATAAATAGTTAAGCAGAATATTTTTTGTAGTTTGTAGGCATGTTGAAAATGCCATGAGCTGTTCTGGTTGTAAGTTTAATTTGGTTTTATTAAATAAAGATGTTCAAAAAGGACTCTTTGCTTGGAACTATGTGTTTTCCTCATTGAACAATTAGCTCTTTTTTCATTGAATAAATGCTTGGGAAGCATACACTTTGATCTTAAGTTGTTTTTGACAGTGAATGCCGTTCTTATGACTTTTCCCCCTCATTCCAGAGTTTGTTCTTAAAGGTGAAAGACAGATAACTGTTCATGTCTCTGTGGCTGGAGGATAGAACCATCTGTATTCTAATAAGTATGTCTTTGTGCTGAGACGCAGTAAATGCAGCTTTCAGGTTACATTTTTGGCAGGAGTGACTTAACACAGAATTGCTAGTCCATATGTTCATGCTGAATTTATGATTGCAATCCACTGCCAAGTAAATCCTGAGAGCATTAAGTTGGTATTTGTGTGGGTTTGTGATAAACATCTAGAAACACGGTTACAGAATAAACTGTCATGTGAAGCAAATGAACATATATAAATACACAATGAGCAAATAGACTCATGATGAATAGCTTCATAGCATGGTTTTATATGATTAAAAAAACAGTTGAGTCTCTTGCTTGAATTTCAAGTATAGTATTTTTAGTGTACTAAGCTGTGTTTGCTGGGGCCAAATGGCTTTTATCTTAAAACAGTGTCTAAAAAAGATTTTATCTTTTAGACAGCTTGTTATATTGACAACTTTGAGTGGACACCATGTTTTAGGAGCCCATCCAAGTCATTGTGCAGTGGCACAGTGGAAGAAATTCTGTTTAGGGTCACAACGCTGTCACATTTTATTGGGGCAACTACAAGTTTAGTGGCCAAAACTATAGTT